ATGATTGCCAAGATCTGTTGCTGCACATGACACACATTATGGTCCAAGTGCCTTGGCCCCGAGGGTAAAAACCATTTTTGAAAAGGTTTTTGGGTTCTGGGATGGGATTGGTAATACTTTAGTCAAAAAAAAAAAATACTGGTTTTTGGGTTCTGGGATGGGATTGGTAATACTTTAGTCCAAAAAAAAAAAAATACTTTAGTCTATCTCTATGCACTCAAGACATGGACAATAAGCAGAGAGCCCTGATGCTGCCAGGTGGGTGAAGTAGAGTCATCCCCACTTTGACCTCAAGGTGCCAATAAACATCCTCCCCAGCATAATATCCTTTTAGAGGCTGGGAGCTATAAAAGATGAAAGGGAACACAGGAGCCCTCTCTGCAGCTCACTCACACTACAGTTGGCCAGGGGGAGGGGGAAGGTTGGGAGTTGTTGATGAGCTCAGGTCCATGCAGTTCAGTCTCACAGATGAGATGGGCTAAACATGGGCACGTGGGTAACAAAGATGCCTCTCTCCCTCTGGGACAGAGTAGTAACTTCAGACTATGTGATCTGTCTATCCAAACCCACTGGAAACTCAGGGGATCGATCTTATTTAATAATTGTGTGTGTGAGGAGGTGGAGCTGGTTAATGTTTGTCTGGTTCCTCTTGGGCTTTGGGCCATATCTGGCTCCAGCCCTGGGTTTTTTTGCCCCTCCCCTGGGCTGGGCTGACAATACCTAGTGGCATAGTGCAGACACGTCTGCAGACATTCCTGGGAAAGAGCAGCAGCAACCAGGTGAGGAAGCTGGGGCTGAGAGAGGTGGACCAGGGGCCCTGGTGTGGCTCAGGGGGGGCAGAAATGGGGGCTGGGAAAGGCCTGTGTCTTATCTTCTCTTGGCCTTGGCATTCAGCCACTTTGATTCCTTCTATGCTTCCCTCTGAGTTGGGGTGAGGAGGCCCCTTCTACCAGGTGGCAAGCTTGCTTAGCCTCTCTTTGCAGCCCTCATTTCTTATCCTCTGGATCCTCTCAATCTTTTTCCCTAGCTAAGGATCCCCTTCATCCTCACAGGGCCAAGTTCCCAGGATTTGCGAGCCTTCCCCCGTTCCCCACCTCCCCCCACCACCCCCACCCCCACTCCCGGCACAGGGTAGTCAAGTTGATCTCTTTAGAACATTTCCTACCACACAGGGTTAGGCTTCAGTGGGACTATTGGGCACTGCTGTTTTCCTTCTCTGATTAGAAGGCAAACCAGGCATTCAACCAATAAGGGGGCTGAGGGTAGATGAACACAGTGCACTCAGTAGGTGCAGAGGGCCAGCTAACAGAATTAAAATTTTGGAGAATGCATTTCCATGTTCTTGAGGTAGGCAGCTAGATTTAAACAGAGCTTGGAGTATTTGATCATTTGGAGATCTAAAGAGATTGCCTTCCAGCTGTTTGAAAGTTGTTCCAGCTGTTAGGAATGGCATGGTAGAATGCATGAACTTAGAAAATGAGATCAGGGGAGGATAATAGAGATAAGAAAGAGGGGTTTGAATGGATAGAGTATAGATGTGGATGCAGCAAAGCACTGAGGGAAGGGACCCAGGCTTTGTTGAGGAACCAACATGAGTCCTAACTGGAACGCCAGCACTTGCTCAGCTTCTTTAAGTCTTCGTTTTCTTGTATAGTTAAACATGAGGGCAAAACACACCAGGAGCAACACAGAGCACAAAAATATCTGGACTTTAACCCAAAGTAAAAAAAAAAAAAAGTTTAGATTTCAAAATCAGGTCACGCCCCTGGATGTTTTTTAAAATGAAACCCTTGAGGTACTAATGTTGGCATAGGGATCAGCTCTACTTCCAAATAGGAGAGCAAAAATTGAGACCCAAGTGCCCACGCAAGAGTCCTTAGGGGCCCAAAGGGAGCTACTGGCCATGTCCCAGAACACTGAAGAAGATGAGAGGCTAAAAGCTACAAGAACCTAGAAACTCAAATGTGGCTAGGCTGTCTGTGGAGCACCCCAAAGGCTAGAAAGAAGAGAGCTGAAACTTGCTTTGGAGTTTGAGTAAGCAGAGAAGAAAGCTAAGGAAGGGAAGATAGAAAAAAACAGGATGCAACAGAAAACCCTGGGAAGGAAGGAAAAGAGTTGTCAGCCGAAACCGGTTTGGCTCAGTGGATAAAGCGTCAGCCTGTAGACTGAAGGGTCCCGGGTTCGATTCCGGTCAAGGGCATGTACCTTGGTTGCGGGCACATCCCTAGTAGGGGGTGTGCAAGAGGCAACTAATTGATGACTCTCTCTCATCGATGTTTCTAACTCTCTATCTCTCTCCCTTCCTCTCTGTAAAAAATCAATAAAATATATTTGAAAAAAAGAAAAGAAAAAAAGAAAAGAAAAGAGTTGTCAGTTGATAGGAAAGAGAAGGGACTACAAGAGAATAAAGCCAGACCAGTTTTGAATATCCCTGTTTCTAAAAACAAAAAAAAAAAGAAAATTATTAATCCCAGCCAAGCAGTAGAGTTTATGGGACAGAATATGGGCTCTGGAGTCAACTTAGCTTGGCTCAAATCCCAGCTCAGTCATGTGCTAACCGCGCAACCCTTGTGACCCTTGTACAAAGCTCTTCACCTTTCTTTACCTCAGTTTCCCCATCTGTGACATGAGGACTCAAAGTAACACCTACCTGGTGGGGTTGTTCTGAGTTTTACATGAGATGGTGTGTATGCAAGGGCCTGGCATATAACAGGTGCTCAGTAATTGATTATTCTTAATGTTTCTTGACCACATGTTTCTGAACATAATGTCTCACAGTACAAAACATTTCTTTACAGTTAACTGTGGTGATTCCTGTGGCAGTTCTGCATTCAGAACCCTAGGCTTGGGAGAAAGGACACCTGTGTTCCTGCTCCCCCATGCTGGCTTAGGCCCATAGCATGAACTCACTAATGATTTTACATTAAATGAAGAAACCTTGTTCAAATAAGTAATCTATGTCCTGTGGACCATCCCTTTATCCCCTAGTTTCTTTCATCCCATTCTGCAACTTTTCCAGTTGCTAATATCTCACTTTCTCCCCTGGAACAGAGAGGACCACCCAGAACTGGATACGGGGTTTCTGCCACAACCACTGCCCCTGCAGTGGGGGAAGTGAATGCACTGCATTTTCTGCAAGTTCAGGCCTGTGTCCTCACATCCAGTTCCCTGCTTCCAGTACAACTTAATGGCAGAAGTGGTGGGAAGTAGGGGGGAGGCCTTCATGCCTACCTAAGGGATAACGGTGAATTTCTTCACCAGAGCAACTGGCAAGCTTGGGAAACCAGGAGGTTACAGTGTACACTTGACATAGGGGGCAGGGCAGCAATGGAACAGTCTGTTCCATCTCAGATGGACACTATAAGTCAACAATAGCATTGGGAAGAAAAAAGAGAGAGATTGGGTTTGGCAGCCCGCTCAGTCCCCCAAATTGACATTGTTTTCTCTTCCTGGTAAGGTTCTTACTTCCCTTGATCAGCACTATGAAAGTGGAGCTGAGCTAAGAACTATTGCAGGTTGCTTAATAACCCTGGATATTAAGGCTGTTTTTAGATGAGCAAGCAGGCTCAGAGAAGTTCAGTCACTAGCCCGGGGTCATATTTGGTGCAGAACCAGGATTCAAACCCAAAGCTGTGTAACTCTTACTGGTTCCGTCTTCTTTCTATTTGATTGTTTGACTCTCTTTCTCGTTCTGGCTTGCTCACCCTTGGGTTCCCTATGGGTTCCCTTTCCAGCAGCTCAAGAAGTGGTCAGGGTATGTTCCATGATACTAGATTTGGAATTCACTCACAGGTCAACGGTTTCTTTATTGCTCACACTTTTATGAGTAACATTAGCCTTGGCTTTTGTTGTTGTTGTTACTATCTGCTAGCCTTGGCTTTTGCTGACACTATCTGCAAAAGCACAGCTATACTGTGGAAAGAGCTTAGGCTTCTGCTTCAGAACCTTTTATGTTTCATCATACTCCAACACTTCCACTCTGTGTGACTTAACTTATCTGAGCTGTAGCTTCCTCATCTGGAAAGACAGTCCTTACAGGTTGGCTAAGTGGATCAAAAGAAAGGATGTATGAGAAAATGCCTAGAACACAGTTCCTGGCTTTCCTCTCCTCTATCTAGCTTACCCATACCCTGGAGGGGATCTAAGTCTAGGAACAATCCAGCAGACCATAAGTTTCTAGTAGGGTCATGGGAAAGGGCCTGGGCTAAGAGTGTCATGGTTCTCTCTGGTGCCCTCTTATATGTACCTGTCTTTGTTACATCTCCTCCCCCTCCTTTGCGACAATTCTTCTGGTGGGGCTATGGGGTGGTGCGGCGATGGACCGGGCGGGCACAGAACAGGTGGGTGCAGGCTGGGTGTCTGGCGCTGGGACACAAGTGCTCTGTGTATAGGGTGGGCGGAAGTCAGGGCGTTTGATCTGAATTCTAAAGGGCGTTGTTCAGAGACCCACAAAGGTCCCATTGTGCAGACACAGGGTATAAAGCAGCATATGACTCCCCAGCACCGGGTGGTGATGAATTGGGACGCAGGCGCGGACCCAGGGACCACTCCCCCGGCACAGACATGAGACTATAGGGGACCTGTCTGGGTGGCCTCAGGGACAGGCGCTCCCCAAGGTAACAGGGCTTTTTGGGTTTTCCCCAGCTTCAAACTTAAGGAGCTGGAGGAGGGGGAACTAAAAAGGATGGCTAAAGATAGAACAAGATGTGCCTGGCACAGAAAGGGGCTAGAGAGGAATAAATGTTGGATGAAAGCAAAAAATGAGAGATGGGGCTCAGGGAAATCAAGTGAAGTGAGTGAGTGAGGAGGAGAGGCTGGCAAGGGAGATGGGGTGATGATGAAAGTTATGATTATCCTTCTTCCTTTCCTGTCAATGGCTCTTGGAAGACCTGGTGGAGGGGTGGGGGTGGTTCAGACGGTGTTATGGTGGCCGGCCTTCTGCCCCAGCTCTCTGACAGCTTGCTTTGTGGCTCATGTCTTACAGGTGTGAATGAGGCAGGATGAACTGGACAGGCTTGTACACCGTGCTCAGTGGCGTGAACCGGCATTCTACTGCCATTGGCCGAGTATGGCTCTCAGTCATCTTCATCTTCAGAATCATGGTGCTGGTGGTGGCTGCCGAGAGTGTGTGGGGTGACGAGAAGTCTTCCTTCATCTGCAACACCCTTCAGCCTGGCTGCAACAGTGTCTGCTATGACCATTTTTTCCCCATTTCCCATGTGCGTCTGTGGTCTCTGCAACTCATCTTGGTTTCCACCCCAGCTCTCCTCGTGGCCATGCATGTGGCTCACCAGCAACACATAGAAAAGAAAATGCTGCGACTTGAAGGCCATGGGGACCCCTTACATCTGGAGGAGGTGAAGAGGCACAAGGTCCACATCTCAGGGACATTGTGGTGGACCTATGTCATCAGCGTGGTCTTTCGGCTGCTGTTCGAGGCTGTCTTCATGTACGTCTTTTATTTGCTCTACCCTGGCTATGCCATGGTGCGGCTTGTCAAGTGTGAGGCCTACCCCTGCCCCAACACAGTGGACTGCTTTGTGTCCCGCCCCACGGAGAAAACAGTCTTCACGGTCTTCATGCTGGTTGCCTCCGGCATCTGCATCATCCTCAATGTGGCCGAAGTGGTGTACCTCATCATCCGGGCCTGTGCCCGCCGGGCCCGACGCCACTCCAATCCGCCCTCCCGCAAGGGCTCAGGCTTTGGCCACCGCCTCTCACCTGAATACAAGCAGAATGAGATCAACAAGCTGCTGAGTGAGCAGGATGGCTCCCTGAAAGACATACTGCGACGCAGCCCTGGCACTGGGGCCGGGCTGGCTGAGAAGAGTGACCGCTGCTCCGCCTGCTGATGCCACATACCAGGCAACCTCCCATCCCGCCCCCACCCCACCCTGCCCGAGCCTCCTTCTCCTATGCGGGTGCACAGGCCTCTACCTGCCGGGGAGAGAGAGCTCCATCAAAACTTTCCTTCCCCCCCTACTCCCTTTCCTACCCCCGCCTGCTGCCTGAGGGGCTACAGAGGTGGGGAGCCCGAATGCTCAAGGTTAGTGAGGGTGTGGGGCAGCTCTTGTTGCCTGTACCCCTTCTTCTTCCCTCTCCTTCCCTGGAGCCACTGGGGAAAAGAGATAAGATGCTCTGACAACATCTCCAATTATGAAACTAATCTTAACCCTGTGCTGTCAGATACTCTATTTGTGGAGTCACATCAGTAGGGAGGGAAGGAACAAGGGAGGGTGCTGTGGACCTGTGGGTGGAGAAGGGAGGGTAGCAAGAAAAGAAGCTGTGCTTGTGTCCTCAAGGAAAAAAAAGGACGTATCTGGGGTGGAGGAGTTAGGGAGGGAGAAAGAAGCAGGCAGATAAATTGGAATAGGGGTTAGTCAGAGCTGCCTTTGCCTCTAGTCCCCAAGGCCTCTCTATGCCTGAAATGTTACACATTAAACAGGATTTTACAGAAAATGAAGGGGTGGCTTGTGTGTTTGTCAAGTTCTTTCTCCTGTAACCTCTGACCTCTCTCGGCTGAGCTGGCCTTGGCTTTTGCTGATCAAGAAAGGAATGGGTGGGGGGGGAAAGAAAAGAAAAGAAAGGAGTGGGTGGCAGAAAACAGTGATTTGAGGAGCTGAACCTGTAAATGATATACCGCAGCCCTACTGGCCCTCAAAACCAACCCCTGAGCTGTTCTCCCCTGAGTTCTATTGTTTTGTCTTTTGGGTTTTTCCCCCCCATTTTTTAATAATATCTTTATTGGGATCTAATTCACTTACTCCCCTCCTCTGGTTCTATTTAATTTTTTATCCATTTTAAGTATAAGGTTTATTGAGTTTTGGTAATTGTGTGCAGTTTTATAAATGTGACCACAATATATTAGAAAACAGAAACAACTCAAAAAGTTTCCTTGGGCCTCATCCTCTGATTTTGAAAATATTAAAATGATGAATCCTCTGGGAACAGAGGAAATGATAAAGAAATTTCACAGCTCTTAGAGAGGAGCACACGTTTCCTCACTACCTTGGTGAAGGCCCTTCCTCTGAGCTCCTGGGAGAAATAGTGCCCCTCCTCCCTTGAAATTCAACATTCTCGGCAAACTAGTGCCCCACAAGCCATCTATCCAATTAGGCAGTGACTTTGGCCCCTTCCCTTTGGACCTAGCCCCTAATTCTCCCCTCCTCTCCAGTTTCCTCCCCCAATGATCAATGCCACCGACCCCAGGGATGTTTCCAACCCAGGTCAAACATTGCATAGCAAGTTTCCTCACCAGCATAGCATCACTCTCCAAAGCAGCAAGTAGCCGCCCCTTCCCCTGTCAGCTGTGGTGGGAAAAGGCTCAGACAGGGACTTGACCTAGCAGAGTTCCAGTCCAGCTTCTGTCACTTATTAGCAAGGTGTTCCCTTCTCCAAGTCTCATTTCCCTTGAGCAAATAGGGCTAGCCTCATGCATCTCTAAGCTCCCTTTAATACTATGTGCCTCTGGGATTCTTAAAAGTGTTCTCCAGCCTCAAGGTCAGGGGGAGACCCTGTCAGAATCTCTGCCCTCACCAATAGCCGCTCACAGTAAAATTTCCCCCCACAGTAAATTTTCTCTCCTCAGCTTTCCTATCTCCTAACAGAAAAAAAGGATTTGCCACTCCATCTTAGAGTGTGCCGGCTCCCCCTGGGAAGAACAGATGGAAATAAAAAAAAATCAAGCATAATCTTTTTTTAAAATATATATTTTATTGATTTTTTACAGAAGGGAAGAGAGAGGGATAGAAAGCCAGAAACATCAATGAGAGGGAAACATTGATCAGCTGCCTCCTGCACACCTCTCTCAGTGGCGATATGCTGGCAAACAAGGTACATGCCCTTGACTGGAATCGAACCTGGGATCCTTCAGTCCACAGGCCACGGCTTCATCCACTGAGCCAAACTGGTTAGGGCAATCAGGCATAATCTTATAAGAATTGCTCTCCTCTAGAAACAGTCTCTTCTTCCTATAGGAAGCATGGAAGGTTTCCTTATGTGAGGCTGTTTCTCCTTTAGAAAGGAAATAAGGAGCTTCCTCCTTTCTTAAAGGAGATACATCCTTTTCCTGCAAGAAATATCCTTTCTCCTTAGAAACTGACATCATATCCTGTCAATGGCCCAGTCCTATTCCCACTTGACAGGTTCTGCCTGGCCTAGTCCAGGAATCAAAGGAATCCAGCTTGGTGGGTATTTACAGCCCCTTCTTTACCATAGGTTAGGCTTAGCATTAAAGTATTATGGAATCAGTAAATGAAACAGGCAGGCATTTCCATCTAGCAGCCACTGTGTGTATCCAGGCTATCTGATTGGGTCTCTGAATCACTTCATGGTTGCCATGCCAATTCTCTATGGATACCTCAGCCTGCTTTGAAATCCCATTTCAGCTGGCTGGAACCTTGATTACTCTCCTAATTCAGCCTGTCCCTTCATCCAAGAGCTGACTATGTCCCTTTGCCCGCAGCTCCTGGCAGTTCTGCACACAGGTGCCTCTAAAAGGTCATAAATGTCCCTAAAAGCCTCAGTACTATACTCGAGAGTGTCAGAGACTCTGATTATTAGGCCTTTTTGCCCTCTTTCAGACCCCTTGAATATTGACCCTTAGATGAATCATGCTCAAGGGAAACTTGCAACACTTTTTGGACTTTGCTATTTGGACTGCTGGCCGTTCCCTGGGGAGCCAATATTATTATTGCCAAGTTCTTTCCACTCACTTCAGCTTAGCTGAACCAGCCTTGCTTCTTTCTGGTTCCTTGCAAGTTTTAGCATGGTTGGGGTCACAACATGAGGAACTGTATTGAAGGGTCGCAGCAAGGTTGAGAACCACTGATTTAAGGGCAGTAGGGACAGAATATAGGCATGTGCTTAGGTTCTGCACCGTGAAAGAGTAGTGTGTGCTCAGTGTGATTAGAGCAGAGAATGCATGGGATTTGGTGGAGGTCTAATAGGAGGTGAGACTGGCAAAGTAGATTGGAGCCAGTTCATGTAGCTGAAACCGGACAACCAATGGGTCCAGGCTGCCTGTCACAACTTAAGCCAATTCAACAGAGACAGGGTTGAATCATATATGAGCATTTATTCCAATAATGCCGGCAATTTGGGAGAGCAGCAGGTCACTCAAGAAAATCTGTTCTGCACCCCACCATAAGCCGGGAGCTTATACTTGGTAGGATGATGATTACATGGGGAAGTAGAAATTACAGGAATGGGGAAGTAGACAATGGGGGCTGAGGTGGGACTCCATTATTTGGCAACAAGGTTGTTAATCTTTCCATGAAAATAGGCAGTTTTTGAATGGGAATGGACTGCATTTCAAGGTTGACTCCAGGTCCAAGGTTGACTGTCAGGTTCCAGAGATGTACAACTCCCAGCCAAGTTAGAATATCCTTTCTTTCATCAAAACAAAGCAATTACGATTAACCAAGCATGAATAATATTTCTTATAACTATAGCTAGTCTCCAATATCTATTTTTGCCCCTAACAAAGGAACTCATATAATGCACGGAAGTTTGCACAGGAATTTGAACTCTCAGCCATCACATATAGGAACCCTTGTGACTTCCAAGTTAGGCCCCTGCTATACTTACAGGCAATTCTGTACTCATAATTATAGATTGACTATGGAGATCTTGAGGAGATCCAGGCCAGGGAAGTCCTTTGCACAAATAGATACCTTAAGGTTGACGATGAACTATGAAAGAAAAAGCAATGATTTAACAGTGGACTTCAAGGAGAAAGGGTAATTTACACAGGATGGTGACCACTGTTCTCCATTCCAACTGAAGAAAGTCTCTCTGAAAAGTCAGTATAGCATAGTGATTAAAAGCATGGTTCACTGCCAAAATCGGTTTAGCTCAGTGGATAGAGTGTCGGTCTGTGGACTGAAGGGTCCCGGCTTTGATTTCGGTCAGGGGCACATACCTGGGTTGCGGGCACATCCCCAGTAGGAGGTGTGCAGGAGGCAGCTGATCGATGTTTCTCTCTCATTGATGTTTCTCTCTATCCCTCTCCCTTCCTCTCTGTAAAAAATCAATAATATGTATATATATTTTTAAAAAGCATGGTTCACTTCCTACCTGCATGAATTCAGTTGTTACTCAGTCACTCTGTGCCTCTATTTCCTCATCTGTCATACAAAGATAATTATAGTCCCTATGTCATAGGAGTATAGTAAGGAATAAATGTGCTGATTATATATAAAGCACTTGGGAGAGTGCCTAGTTGATAGTAAGTTCTATACAAGTGTGTGCTGTTATGATTTCATCTCCCCATCTTTTCCATCCTCCAGCTATTCACGAACTCATTCAAACACTAAGCTAAACTCTTTGTTGCACCTAATTAACATGCTTTCTTGACTGTTTGGTTGTCAATTGCCACATATTTGTGCTTAAGTAAGCAAGTCTGCTTGTTTGCATACATATGTCACAATATATATGACCACATTTGTGTATATATGTAGCAGGATGGCTGTGAAGGGCATCTTAATTCTTAATGTAGTTTTTTTTAAATATATTTTATTCATTTTGTACAGAGAGGAAGGGAGAGAGATAGAGAGTTAGAAACATCGATGAGAAAGAGTCATCGATCAGCTGCCTCTTGCACACCCCCTACTGGGGATATGCCCACAACCAAGGTACATGCCCTTGACCGGAATCGAACCCGGGACCCTTCAGTCCCCAAGCCGACGCTCTATCCATTGAGCCAAACCGGTCTCGGCTTAATGTAGTTTTAATGAAAAGGTATGTCTCAGTTGTAATATAGTCTGAAACTTTATTATCAGGCTTAGACATCATTTAGGTGGATGAAAGGAAAGGAGACTACTTATGGAGCATACAGGATGGACCAGATTTGGTGCTAAATTAAGTGCTTACATACATAATCTAAGTAATGGTGAGGTAGCTATTACTATACCCACACATGCAGATGAAGGAATGAAGATTCAGAAAAGGTAAGTAATACCATGTTTCCCTGAAAATAAGACAGTGTCTTATATTAATTGTTGCTCCCAAAGATACGCTAGGTCTTCTTTTCAGGGGATGTCTTATTTTTCCATGAAGAAGAATACGGTACACATTTATTGTTAAATGAAAATAAAGGAAATTTATTACCTGTATACAGTACGGTAGTACGGTAGTTGTCAACACAAACCAGACAAACTGTGAATCCTACAGTATCAAGAATTTATTCATTTATTCAATGACAATCATGACATCA